GGTACATCATGTCACAAATAGATATGTGCATTTGTTTCATGATCTGCTTAACAATAGTGGAATGATGGCCATTTTAAGGCCGAAAATGCATCAAAATCACGTATTTTCACAATTCCAGAACCGGATCTCAGTCATGCATAGATGGATTTTGTTCAGATTTAGCACAATGTGTTGTACATATGCAGGTGCATTTCGGTCATGATCTGCTTTGAATGTATATGTCACTCAAATATGAACGGAACGGGGACGTGTCATTGACAATGACTTGTTTAGCTTATTTCGCTGACTGGAAAAATGCGCTAAATTAAAACACAGTGAACATGTAAAATTTAGCATAGAACACATTATCTAAATGACGAAACCGTGAATTTAAAACCCACTGAATATGCCTAAAATGGTAAATCAGTGAAATTTAAACCCAGTGAATATTAGTCATTTTACAGTATACAAATTTCAAGATCTGATTTTAAATATTTCTTTTCGAAAAGTAACTGTAGAAAAAATCTAAAACATAGAATGAACAAATAGTGAGAATTGACCAATCTTGTGGAAAAATTATTTTTAGAGGTTAATGAGAACTTCATGTAACTTAATCTTCTAAAGCAAATATTCACACAAAAAGTACACAATCATATTCTCTTAAAATATATATGCTGTCATAGTTCCATGTTTAGTAAATTGTAGAGAATGCCCTAATCACAATTAAACTATTACTTGTTTTCCCCTATTAGCACCTTAAAAATCGACATGGTATATAAACAAGCATGGACGGAGTCTATTATTCAAATGAAGTCGCCCTCACCCAAAGCAACAACAGTGACTAAAAGCTCCACAAAAACACGAGAAACAGTGATTCATTGTATTATATTTTCTATTTTTCAAACGTGAATAATGCCATGAATGGTCAAATTGACAGCTAGACCATTTACTTTTGCCAGGAAAATGGGTTTCAAAACTGTTGAGTTTTGAATTTGCAGGTGATATAAGCTCCAAAGAAAACACAGACAAGCTTCTTTGCAACATGGGGGCATGAGGTTGTCAAAACCAGGGTCTGTCTGAAAACATATGGTTGAAATCAACGATATACGGCATTCATACGCTAATGCCAACAATTTTGCCTGTAGTTATGATATGCGCAGTCGATGTACCTTTTATTCGACAACCTTCGCCCACATCGGGAGAAGTCTACACACTGGTGTGTAGTTGATCGGCATTGTCATTCCAATGTATAATCGCTTGGAATGAAATGCGATGCGCATGTCATGAAAAACATTCAACGTATTGTAAAAGCTTTCCACATGACATGAGGGCGTGGATGTAGTATTCAGCATTTTCCTAAATAACAGAAGTTTGAATAAAAGAGTGAAAAAGATTCGCTGCAGCCGTGCTAGTTGGTAATATGTTTTGTTTCTGGCTCGTAGAGAGCGGAATTCTATCGAAATGCATGTCCCAGTTGCAATGGATTTTCCTAAGGGAACTGATCATTACCACCAAGCCGGTTTCCTGTGAGTCTCCTGCGGCATGCGTTGCTTTACCGTACCGGTCGTTGCTTTACCGTACCGGCCGCTGCTTTACCGTACCGGCCGTTGCTTTACCGTACCGGCCGCTGCTTTACCGTACCCGAAGGTCATTAGCCGTACCGGCAAGGCCGTTACCGTACTGGCAGGAGGCAATTCACACTTCTGA